TCAGAGGTGTTGGGCCCTCCCTGGTGGCGCAGCGGGTTAAAGCATAGCACTAAGAAGCTAAAGCCACTTCAGCATGAGTTCGATTCCCGCCTGCCTCGGAGGAGATCCACATGGCGTGGCAGACCTCTCCTGACCTGCCCGCTGCTCCCCTCAGCAGTGTACTTTGTCGATCTGCCTGTTCTGCTCCCCACTCTGTCTCTGCTGAATCCTCTCACGCTCCGCATCTCTGGCCTGTACCCCAGTTCTGTATGAATGAATAAATAAATCTTTAAAAACAAAATCAGAGGTGTTGATGGGCCTTCCCTGGTGGCGCAGCGGGTTGGAGCATAACACTGTAAAACTGGCCATGGCCGCTTCAGTGTGAGTTCTATTCCTCGCCCCGGAGGTGATCCATAGGGCACGTCACACCTTTCCTGACCCGCTTGCTGCTCTCCTTAGCAGTGTACTTCATCGATCTGCCTGTTCTGCTCCCCACTCTGTCTCTGGTGAATCCTCTTACTGTCCCTGCACCTCTGGCCAGTTCTTGTATGCATCAGTAAATAACTCAGAGGTGTTGGGAGGGAAAATAGGAAGTAAAATAGCTCAGCAGGAAAAAGGCAAATGCCCAATAGTGTGACTTGTATGCGGTATACAGAAAAGCCAAACTATGAATCAGGTAAAGACAAGTTTAAAACTAACCCTTGCCCACGCCCCAGAGGTGACCCACATGGCACAGCAGACCTCTCCTGACCCACCCGCTGCTCCTTTCAGCAGTGTACTTTGTTAGTCTGCCTGTTCTGCTCCCAGCTCTCTCTGGTGAATCCTCTCACCACCCTGTACCTCTGGCCTGCACCACAGTTCTGTATGCATAAATAAATAAATCTTAAAAAAAAAAAAACAACTATAAAAAAAAAAAAAACAACTAACCTTTATAAGCTGACCCTAGAACTGAGGCCATCAGAAGGGTATAGGGCGGAGGAGGGGTGAAGACAAAATGGGGAGGGATTACAATGGACTATGGTGGTGAGATATGGCTGATTTAGTGACTGGTGTATTGATATGGGAATAGCTGAGGGGCAGCATACTACACTGCCAAAATCTGACAATAATGTAAGCCAACATTACCTCAATAATAAAAATGTTAAATTCAGCATGACTAAAGCTTCAGTCCACCCAAGTCATGATCCAAGTACTGTCTACTTAGTTGTAACTGTTACTATGAAATAGATGAGATTTGGAGTATTCATACTTAATGGTGTCTTTCTAAGATTTTTGAAATTAAGGATTTAATAAAATAGTTGAAAAAGATTAATGAGTTGCTATATTTACATTATCAAGAGATTGTAAAATAAATATTTACATAAACTGGGAACCCTCCATTGTCCATTTTAAAGCTTACAAATATTAACTTCACTTGTAGATTTTTATGGACCACAACACAAGCAGGTGGCTAGAGGACACAAAAGAGCATCTTGGAGATTCTTTCAGAACACAAGCCTCATGGCTCCATACCTCACACTTACCAGCAGAAGTACAATGTGCTCAGTGACTATTTAGAAGTCAAGAGATTGAATAAATTCTTCTGTGGATCAATAGGTGATGATATAATAATAGTATTAATAGTGACTGATGTTGAGTGATTTTGATATATTCTAAATGATTTCTGTATATCATTTCTTTTAACCACACAACTACACTCTGTAGAGGTATAATTATCTCCATCTTAACACTGAGTGGACTTAAGTAAAGATTTGAAATACCTTGTCAAAGTCAAAGAGTTAAAGACACTGAACCTTAAACCTAGAGTTCTATAAGAAAAAATATTTAAAATTTGATAGTGGATAATAATGCCAAGTGAGGGGGAACAATTAGATATTTTTACTTATTTCTTGGAAAAGCTTACACCATTATTTCACCAAAGGAGTTGCCCTTGCAACTTAAGATTTGTAGAGTGCTTTAAAAATTTACTGATTTGGAGGGGAACAAAGAAAAGCATTACCTTGTGATATTCTGCAAAGAATATATCTGATTACTTCCTTAATGGAGCTAAACACACAATTATAAAACAAATATCAATTGAACTGATTGGTCGTGACATCACTGAGCATTTACTATTTCAGAATCATTTGGGTTGGAAACAGGAAAAGCACAATTCCTTGCCCGGCCACTGATATCAAAAGGACTTACTTTATTTATAGTAAAACATAAGAGTTTTGCCTGCTAGTTCCCTTTAAGGACATTATTTTATTCTATGCTGTGTTTTTATGTTTTATCTTTCATAAAACAAGTGAAATATTAAAAAGGAATTTATTATCTCTAAAATCAAATAGATTTATAATTCTTTAAATCACCAAGTTACCTTTCATTTCTAATTTATCCATCCCTCTTGAGCAAATGATAGTTGTAATGTGTCATGTTACGACATTCATTAGCTTTTTGAGCTTAGTGATTTTCAGGGTGTTGAAAAGAATCTACATAGGAATTTATTAGCCTGTTCTTGAGCATGTATGTTTGATCTCTCTTCTAACTTCAAACACACACACACACACACACATTAAATTAAATATAGTTCTTTGAATGTCAAATGGCTGTATGATTTTTGAGCTTGCCAAGTGTTAATTGGTCTCTTCCCCAGTGATGATACAAATAAAATTCACAGCCAATTAGTTTGCAGTCAGGAATTTTTACTCCTTGACAAACTGGTTCACTTTGTAAAGAAGACTACAAAAATGTAGAAATTACTGAACTCTCTTTACTGAAAGATTTTGTATAGATCAATTATCTTTAATAAACATCAAGTAATCAAGGTTATAGTTACCATGTTACACATGATATGTTTTAACATTCATGGTAGCTTACTAGAGGATATTTGGAAATATAATGAAAGAGACAAATGCACTAATATAACAAGTTAAATAAAATACTGAACAAATAAGAGTTGCCTCCTTTCTAATCACCTAATATCATGCTGAGTTTCAGTATTAGAAGACAAAGGTTTGGTGTGGTTGAACTAAACAGTAGTAATCACGCAATGTCTTTGACCGAATGCTAGAAAGGCTATAGGGTGTAAAAAAGAAAAAAAAAAATCACTGTCTTCTTTCAATGTAGGAAAGGACATTTAATTAGGAGTGTGAAATTCTTTGCATTGACTGAATCTTTAATTGATTCAAAGACATATGAATGATTGTAATGGAAAAAGTAGTTATTTTCTACGTGCCTTGCTTAAATTTTAATTGATCTATTATTGCTATAAATTTGGAAAGAACAATAAGACATTTAATTTTGTTGTTATGGGATCATCTAGCTGAGATGATTCTATCTTTGCCTGAATCTTCAATAATCTGGAAAACTATGAGAAGTCTAGTAGTAGGTGCATGTTTAACTATTAAACATATGTTTTAAAGATTTATTTATTTATACATAAAGGACCTGGGGTACAGGCCAGAGATGTGATGGGTGAAAGGATTCACCAGAGACAGGGTGAGGAACAGAACGGGCAGACTGAAATACACTGCTGAGAGGACCAGCAGGTAAGGCAGGAGAGGTCTGCTGCTCCATGTGGGACAGCTCCCCAGTCAGGGATAGAACTCGTGCTGCAGTGCCTGTGGGCCTGTGGATAGGTTCTTTTTTTTTTTTTTTTTTTTAAGATTTATTTATTTGTGCATGCAGAACTGGGGTACAGGCCAGAGGCTCAGGGGCGGCGAGAGACTTCACCAGCGACAGAGTGGGGAGCAGAACAGGCAGATCTACGAAGTACACTGCTGAGGGGAGCAGCGAGAGGGTCAGGAAAGGCCTGCCGCACCATGTGGGGAATTGAACTCATGCGAAAGTGGCTTTAACTTCTTAGTGCTGTGCTTTAACCCGCTGCGCCACTAGGGAGGGCAGTGGATAGGTTCTTAGTATTGTTCTGTAACCCGCTGTGCATCAGGAAGAACCCATATTAAACCTTTTTTGGAAAAATTTTTAAGTCCCAGCAAATTCATAAATAGGGAAAATTTAAAGTTTTTTTAACAAAATCTCAGAAACTAAAATATATGCCCTAAATTGTAACAATTAAAAAAAGCAAACTTGCAAAGCAATAAAAATACAATTTAATGTATCAATAAAGATCAGCAATTCCAAGGGACTCAATGTATTCTTGGTACCAACAAGTTGTAAATGACTGATATGCTACTTATCAAAGTCATTCTGCACTCACAGAACACTGGCTAGGCTAAGATATTGGTGGCATGTCTCCTAGTGGTCAAGGACATGAATACATTTTTTTGAAATTCAAATTACTTGTTAACAAATGGAAAACACAGTATTAGATGAATTTTCTCAACATCTAAAATTGGTGGTTAATTTCTCAAGGAGAACCTAGACTCTCTTGTGGTCCTTTAGGCCTCTTTCCCACAGTCTCACTTCAAAGGACATTATATTGTTGATGGTGACAAAAAGTGATATTGAGTCTGACTCATGATATCTCCATGGCAATCATAAGCTTTGTTCAGTAAAGCAAAACAATGAAGATGAAGGGATTGATTTCAAGCTTATAGGATGAAACTAAATTGGCAGATGGTTCCTCTCTTGTGTTTCTGTTCATGGAATGTGGATATTTCTTTTAGATAGCTCTACAACATATGACAGAAAGTATATATGTTGTGTGCAATGGCACACAAAGACATGCACCCTTCATGCAGTGGTTTGTATACTCTCAGGAACAATCATGAATTTGAGGGTATGTTATTTATATATATGTCATCTTTCTTTATGTAAGTGTGAGGTAAAATAGTGTTTCAATTTCTATTTTTTTTGAAACCAAGCTGCCTGTAACTTTGTCCAGTGGAGCATCCTAATTGACTCTCCAGTCATTAATCAGTTCCCAATCAATCTACTTTGCCAACAGCAGACAGTTAGGACTCCATTACCAACCATTCATCATGCCATACCCTAATTCACTGCACCATTAGCCATGGATTAGGCCTCTGGAAGAACAGCGAAGTGGCCATAGCTGAATGCTAAAAACTTGTATTACTTACTTCAGCCACTGGAATCCCTTCAGGAGGTCGACACTGGAGCAAGACTTCCTGTTCCAAAGATACTTCTTTTCCCAATGGTTCCTGCTCAAATGTCTTTCGTAGATCTGAATGGGCACAAGTAGTAAAATACATGACAAACTAATATTTACTCACTTATAGAAAGCACAATAACATGTTTTTGCTTAGTATCTCATGTATTTTATATAATTTAAACACATGTTAGCACTTTGCTATCATCTGGGTGACTATTTCCTGTGTGGTAGAACTTATGAAATTCTGAAGTGATAAGCTGTGTATACTTTAAGCTTCAGTGAATGTTTTAGAGAGCCTCATTATAATCAGCAGTGAAGATCAGTCATTGACCATCCTTATTATTTCTTCATAACAAATTATGATGATTACATTTGTTAATTAAAAAAAAATATTTTCATGATTCTTATATATTCAGAATCCCTTAAAAGCATAAATATGTTCCCTTTCTTCACCAGACTTAGTCCTGATACTGTAATAACTCTGAGATCTTCTTGACCAGCAATTCAAAAGCAAATTTCCTTTCCTGAAATAGAACAGAATGCTGGAGTCTGAAATAATGAATATAAATTTCTGAAATATCTCAAGCACAAGGTAGGAAAAAGTGCAATTATTAGGATAAATCCTGAAATAACTCAGTAAGTAATTATGTGAGCACTCTTTAATAAAGTTTATAAAGTCATTTCTGGTTGTATGTAGCAAGTACCTAATTATATATTTACATTGTAATAATTGCTAAGGCATATGCAGATGGACCTATAAATGTTAGAACCTGCTTCTCATTTGAGACAGAAAAGTTTTGAAAAATGAATAATTCAGCAGCCACGTTGAAGCAACATTTAAAAAAATCATACCCCAAAATTCATTTCATACATGCACAGTTCAGCAGCTACTCCTAATAATTTTACCCAGCTGACTTTATATATATATATATAAAAACTGTTCTGGCTTTTTATCCCATGTCCTTAATAAAGACTTAAAATCCCCAAATACTCATTCACCTATTGAACAAATGGGTGGAAATATGAAGATCTGGGGAGGCACATCCCTAATGTCTTTCAAAAAGTTATGAGAAAGGATCACTTAGAGAAATCCATGAAGAAAAAAAAAATCCATTACTCATTTTGCTACTTTTTAAAAACTTTTGCAGAAGAAATTTTAAGAGCTTAGGGGTTGTGAGAAAATTATGGATCAGTTTGAGTCTGAGGTAAGAAGAGACTCTCCAAAGGACAGAATTTCTACTAGAAGGGTACTTCTGGTCTAATCATCAAAAAACTATGTTCTGTGAACATTTAATAGCCATAGAGTTATTAGAACTTGAAAATAATCTAGACGGTATCTTCACTTCAAACATAAGGGATGTGTTGATCAAAGTACTATAAGATTCACAATGAAGTGGTGGCTGCATAAGAAACTGTGTGATCCTCAGCTGACACGCAGTCTGCATCTATGCATCTCCTCAGCATCACTTTTGATCAGTCTGTGACCTTCCAACAAGACCTTCAAACTCTTCTTTTTCTCTTCTGGTATGGTAGTTTTCTTTGTTTTTAATCTACATTAAGATACACATTTGGCAAAATACCAAATACCAACAAAAACAAGAACAATAATAGATTCAGGGATAAGATGTTCATGACAGGGTTTATTTGTTTGTGAGAAATGATTCTGAAAAATCTCCCATCTGATGTGGGATGAGGTGAAGGCATAATGATTAGAATTAGTTCTGAAACCAAATAACGTATTGACTCTGTCCTTTGTCAAATTAATCAGCATACCAAAAACTGAGGAGGGGGATAAAATTGGGTAATCTGTGTATGCAAATAGTCAAAGCAAGTTTCTTTGATGTTTATTATCTCTTTATGGATGATACTTTATTAGATACTTTTGATGAAGATAAAGACTATAAGAGTGAGCAAAATTTAGAAGTCTTTCTGTCCAGCTGTGTAATTGCAAGCTCGCAAAGGCCACGAAGGAAAGAAGGGAGGTCAGTGTCATGTACTGTGAATGCGAGAAGTGGACTATTGGTGGTAAGGAGCCAAAAAGGAGTTGAAATTCATATGATAGACCAGGAGAAAATGGAGTCTTGAGCTCATCTAGTGATAAAAAAATATAAGAACAGAAAGTAGATTCCAGAAGTAAATAATCCTTACATCTGGCAACACCAACATACCTGGAAAGTGCTGAGAGGTATGGATGTTGCTATATTTTTAGCTACTGCAGTTGTTAATTTGGTATAATCTTTAAATGTAATAGTTACAAATTGGGTAGGAAAGTGGAGAGAAAGATGGTATACTTATTTTGGTAGCTGTTCAGTTTGGGTGTCTAAAGATTTTCAAATGGAAAATTTCGGTAGGAACCGACTATAGTTTTTCAACCTCAACACTACTGTGCTTCATTGTCTAGAAGACAAATGAAGCACTGGAAATACACAATTAGAAGGGGAGACACTGCAGCCTAAAAAAAAAGAGGAAAACCATCTAGCAAAAATGTCACAGAGTTGAACAAAGTGGAGAGAACCAAAGAGACACATTTCAGAAAAGCCAAGAGCAAAATAGTTTTAAGAAACAGGGAGGTCAGGCCCACCCTGGTGGCACAGCACTAAGAAAGTTGCACCATGAGTTCGATCCTGGCCATGAGGATGATCCACATGGCA